GGAAAAAGAAAAGAGATAACAAAATTTAAAAGGAAGTTGCAACGGTTGAAATGAGGAGACAGAGGAAGAGAGGTTATATAATGTGTATAGTCTGCATCACACGCGGGAGTACCCATTTTGCCGCCGTGCCATTGCCCGTTCACCTTGGCCAAGGAAGGGCAGAGAGGCGACAAGGAAGTAGAGTAAGACAGGGAAGAGAAAAAACATGAAACAAAGAGGAAGAAAGAACAAGGGATAGAATAACAAAGAAGAGACGGAAGATGAACACGGAAACAAGTGCAAGGTGAAAAACACACAACAACATAGGACGAAGGTGCAAGCTGGCACGTATCCTGTTCTCTCAAGTATAAGGCACGTATCCTGTATCCTACATGAAGGGGCCCGGGATTGTTCCGCCTTTTCAATTTTGGACAGGGACGAGGTCGAGTTGATACTATGTATAGTGTGTATCGTACATGAAAATCATTGAAAATCTCTTTTGGGACTGCTGGAGGTCTTGTAAGTCTTCGAAAAAGGTGGAAAGGCAAAAGTCCAAGAGGCACGGAAGAGCCACAAAAAGAGGAACATTGTGAAATGAAGGGGACAAAGGCAAAGGGAGTAGAAGAAAAAAATGATGAACATGAAAAGGAAGAGCGAAAGGACGAAGGAAAAGGAGCGGACAAAAAGTGAAAAGGCGGAAGAACAAGAAGGAGGTCAGGAAGGAAGCGGTTTTATAGACATTGTATAAATGAATCATGACATGAAGGAGTTCTTTTTGGCACGGTTGGAGTGCCACATCAGTCTCGGAAATGGACCGGCAAACAAAAACAGAACAGGGGACTGTGGGAGTGCTACTTTCTGCATACATGACTTAGTTTCAAAACCTCAAAATATTTAATTCTAATCACCAATCACACATGAATTAACTTGTGAAACCTTATCCTATATTAAACACACACACCAAAAAAAACTATGTCCCAGCCACTTATGGACCCCCGTTGAGTGTTTTTTGTGTTTTGAGTCTTGAGTTTTTCTTTGTGTGTGTGTGTTTTGTTCTCTCCAGGCCTTTTGCAACTTCTGCCCCAACTTGTCAAAAGACAAAACAAAAGAAGGCAATGGAGGTCCATGAGTGGTTTGGACATAGGGTCATAGGGTTGTTTTTTGGTTTAGTTTTTGTTTGGTTTTATGGACGTTTTTACTAATATTACCAAAGGACAGGAGCCATTGTCCATGTCTGCTCAGCCGCACCTCATGGACATCATCCAGGTGCGCATTGTTTGCTGATTTTCTCATGGTTTGGACACCTTCCCAGAAAGTTACTTGAAACCATGGGAGGAAATACAGCACAGCCAAGACTTGAAAATAGAATCAGCAAACAAATTTCAGCATGTTTTTTTCAAAGCAAAATCCTTCAATACATGCCTTGTGCAGCAATATGTGTTCAAAGAATATGACATGTCTTGCATAAAGTCACATCATTACGTGCATAAAGCGGCATCATTTTGCACAGTCCTCTTAAAAAGGGAGTGTAGTGTAGTTTTTCTTTGAAAGGAATCTCAAGTCATGTTCAAAGCGACAGCTTATCAAAGTTCTCTTAAAGAGGTAAAGGAATCTATGGAAGAAGGACAGCAGCATTTCAGAATTGAATCTTTTGAGTACCTATTCTTAATAATCATTGTATTCCTTAAGAAAGTGTTGGTGCGGGTATGCTAAAAAGTTGCCTTGATAAGGCTGTGAACCATTTGATTGAAAAACAGGCAATAATATGAAGAAACACGTTACTATGAAGTAGAAGTGTACCTATAATATGTTTAGAAAGAGACAGGTAATGACTACAACGTATGAAATATGGCCTTTCATATGAGTGAAACAACCGAAAAATACAAGCACCATTATTTAAAAAAAAACACGTTACAAACCAATGTCATGCAGAAAAATGGGAGCGAGGCTTAACTTCATTGAGCACATATTGCATTTGTTCACATATTGTATTTCTGCAAGAATATTTTTTTTTGTTTCAGGGATTATCTTGTCTTCAAAGCAATTAATTATTTCATATAAAGAAGTGAAGTTTTTCCTTTAAAAGCACATATCATGCAGAAAAATGAAAATGAGGCTTACCATTGAAGGATGTACTGCATCTTTCCACACATTACAGTTTTCTTTCAAGAATATCGTTTATTTAAGGGAATATATGTCTTGTCTTCAGGGCAGGCTGCAACCTGGAAGCAGTATGTTCCTTCAAAAGTAATCGAGTTCGACCAAGGATTGCTGCAATGTGCACCGACCATTGCTCCTTTTGACAGCAATACTGAATGCTTAACTTAATACTACAATGTTTTGGAAGACTGCACTTCTACAGAAACGAACAATGCATGTTTTGGGAAACCTCTATATTTCGTAGGGATACTACTTCTTGAAAGAAGTATTGCATTGCCTTGGACGAAAAATGCAGCTTATGAATGAAAGATATAGTGTGAAACGAAGACATCGCTTCTGCCAAAGTAGCACTATATTTTTACATGAATGCCTCATAATTTGCAAGGGTGATTAAAGGGTTGCATTTGCAACTGTTTCAAAATAGTTTAGCTTGCTAGATCTTACTAGGGTGTGGCAGTCTCTCACATTGTCTCCCTCCCATCGGCCATTGTAGTGTTTACATGTTTTTACTGTTTTTTTGGTTGGTGGCGTCTTCATTTGGATGAACATTTTGGCAGAGACATTAGGCATGCTGATGTTTATGAACAATTAGCACCAACAACTTGCTGTAAAACTAACAAAAAAACGCACTCCCCCAGTCCCCCGCTCTCAAAAAAAGAGGACATGGAAGAGGCAGAGAAAGAACAAAGTCAAACATGAAAAGGACAAGGAAGAAGAGCAGGAAGAGAACAAGGAACGTTAGTAAAAAGAGGAAAAGAAATTATAAAGAGGAAGGAATATGACAAATGAACAAGGAAGAGGAACATGGAAGAAAACACAGGACAAGAACGAGGAAGAGGAATAAGAAGAGGGAACCAAACAAGGGAAAACAAATTAATTACTTTACTTCGAGGGATCCCCAGCATGACATTGTTTTGTCATAATTAATGATATCTCAGTAATATCTCATCTATAAATATATATATATAGTATATATAGCATATATTTTCTGACATTCTATTCTGGCATTCTTTCTGACATTCTTTTGGCATTCTATTTGGCATCTATTCTGACGTCCTATTTGGCATCCTCTCTGGCATCTATTCTGACATTCTTTTCATTTCTGGCATTCTTTCTGATAATGTATTTGGCATCTATTCCGACATTCTTTCCGGCATCTCTTCTGGCACTTTATCTGGCATTCTATCTGACATCCTTTCTGGCATATGTATCTGGAATATCTTCCGAAATTCTTTCTGGCATTCTATCTGGCATTATATCTTCGGAGTTTCTTCGTGGTTGAGGTCCAGGTGGGAACGCTCTAATCCGGAGCTTGCGGTGGAGGTCCGGCGGGGAACGCTCTGATCCGGAGGTTGCTGTTGGGGTCCGGCGCACGACGGAGGAGGAAGGAGGAGGAAGGAGGAAGGCGGGCTGGCTAACATAAAATCTAACAACCCGCACCTGACAGGTGGGGAAAACGGACAGAACAAACATGAAACAAACAGAACAATAAGAAACAGCAGTTACAGAAGCTGCGACAAGAGAATCAGTATGTAGGGTAACTTAGTCGTCACTTCTCTGTGGCAGGTAGATGCAGAAAAAAGATTATGAGCACTTCGATTATTAATCATCTTACTTGATTTCAGGACATAAATTTAGCAGCAGCAAAATCAACACTTATTAGTAGAAACCAGGTCTATTTACAATGTATTTTACCTCCTCGAGTACATCTGCAATGGTTAATACATTCCCAGGGCGCTGTCATGCACATGCCTGTAAATAAACCGAATGTAAATTGTACATATGATAGTTCTCACGGAACGGACGAAATATACCCCAAAGGTCCCCCCACATATATATATATATACACCTGTGCACATGTAGGTCAGGTATTATTTCAAAAACACAGTAATCTAACCTTTCAGCATGTCGAAGAGACACTTGTTTGTTCTTTCCCCGAAGTTTCCGTAGTAGACAGCGCCAACGAAACACCATACACCAAAGGCGTACTGTATTTGCTGAAGACGAGTTGCTATTTTTCACTTTTCCCCATTGGTTAATTCACGACTTGGGGAGAATTTTTGAGGATCCTTATGGGTTTCACCGTGCCAACCGCGTTCCAGGTAATGGGCCAAGCGTTTGCGATCATCACTTGGACATGCTGGAACCCCAAATGGGGCATTCCAGCCGGCGAGAATTTTGAGACTATGCACATGCACATATTTGCACTTACTGCTATCTGCATTGTTGCATCTCTTTGCGTTTCCAGGTTTTTGATCAGGTCGCAATTTGCTTAAAGAGAATGGCAATTTGCTAACACCATTTTCATCCCTTTCTTTTAATCCCAGAATGAAAATGAGTATACGATGTAGAGGCAAGCACGGGGCTGCCCCGCACTTGAGGAGCCCGCAGACCCAGTGGTTCCTAGACGAGGTCGACAAGCAATGATTTTCGGAACTACCGTACCTAATTTTAGCACAACACCTCCGGACACAGGCGAGGTGCACAATGTGCCACCTCAATGTCGCATCATATTTTCCAACTTTGGCTTCTTCCAGTCCTATCTCCGGGAGAAGGGTTTCAGCCGGCCTTTGCTCGTCAGGATGAAATCATCCCACCGAGCAGCTGGCGGATGTTCTGTGTTACTGCAGCTGCCCCAGATATGCTGCTGGACGTAGCAAACCGATATATAGGTACTGCAAAAAAATTGATGACCCAATGACCCCGCCTGGTCATGTACTGGAATGCAGTCCAACAACTAACACCATTTCAAGTAGAATTTGTGATGTCCCCTTGCCTCAACAGCTTAAAATCTGATTCCGCAGGCATTCAAGTGTTCAGCCTTTTCACTCTTGCTCCGGACGCGTGCGTTGCTTGAGAACATGAGATTCAGTGCATTTGTGATCGCCAGTGTTTTCGTGAGCTATGTGGGCTATGGATTGCGACATGGCATGGATGATGACAAGGAGGAGCCGGGTTGGGTTGGTGGCTGAAACGCCATCCGCTCCTGTTCAGCTTAGAAAATATGGGTTTGTCCAGAAATGAAGTGTATACTGACCTGAATACCCAAAGGGGGCAATTTTCATGGGAATGCTAAACTCTCCCTCAACGGTATACATAGAAGTAGCTACAGCATGGCATGCCACTGATTTTTAACAAAGGATCGATTCACAGGATGTTGAACATCTCCATGGCTTACTCTCATCATCGATGATTTCTTCCCTATTTTCCATAGATTTCTGCACTGTTTCTGTCCTGTTTCTGTTTTGGACCCCAAATGGGTTCATCCAAAAGCTGGACAGGGCTCACAAGTCGCCAGGCTGCCGAGCTGGCAACGGAAACTGTGGACCTCGTGGAAAGTGGCGACCCACTTGGGGATGCCGCCGAAGCTGGGAATGTGGAGTTGGTCGAGAAGCTGCTGAAGGGCAGGGGCATAATATTCAAGCTGGACGCCACGTTGCTTGGAAAAATCTTGAAGCAGCTGGGGGAATCTGAAGCAAAAAAGAGATCTACAACCAACGGAAAGCCAGGATTTGAGCATGCACACTTGGGGCATTCAATAGCCACAACTTTAGTGGGATTCCTTCGTGTATTTGGGGCAGTTTCATCCTTGTTTTCATGCTGGATTTTGGGGTACAAGCTCTGCGAATCTGGCTACTTTTATGATGTGTTACCTCCGCCTTCTGTTGTTTCGCATGATTCACATGTGCCCATGATCACTTCTGATGACATGAACAACATGTTGTCACACTCATGATACCGTGGCCGTCTGGGCCCTGATTCCCTGAGGGAACCCTTTGGCCTTAGTGATTTTTCACATGAGTGGCGCGTGAGAAAATAGGTGGCTGATCCAGGCCGCTCCTTGGGCATCGAGGTGGTGCCTTGTTGTTTTGGGTGAAGCTTTGAGGGGCATCACCGTTGTGATATCGAACTTTCGCTGTTTGATCAATTGGGCACTGCATTGAATCTTCATCACATCCATCCTTTTGGTGCGTTGCCTGGCCAGCTACCGGCATTGGTAGCGGAGCCGTGGTTCCGACCCGGCTCGAGGATACGTGGATCCTCTGCATTGTGGTGGACAGCTTGACTTAGACTTCCACGGCAACCCTGGTTCACTGAATTCACTCGTCATTTTGACGTCAAGATCCAGAATTAGTTTTGCAGATTCATTGAAGGCATGTCGTACAGCAGAGACGAAACAGTCATTCCATCATGGGACGGTGAGCTTGCTGGATGGGCTGAGTACTCGAGACGAGTTCGCTTGGCTCACTCACAGACCCAATGTAGCAAACGCTACACCCTTGGGCCCCGATTGGTGCTGAAGCTGAAGGGCAAGGCTTGGGAGATAGCATCAACGGTTGACCATCAGCAGCTCGAGACTGACAATGGAGCTCAGTATCTTCTGAGCTTTCTTCGGCAGAGATTGGGCCGACTCCCTGTCCCTGATTTGGGGCAGCATCTCGAGCAGCTCTTTCTACGATGCCGACGACCTCAAGGCATGGACATGGTTTCCTGGGCGAATCTCCTCAGGGAATCATACCGAAAGGTGCAAAGAGCCTTGCACCGCACAATGCCGACCAAGAAAGATGCTTCCGTTCAGACGGATCCCATGCCGAGGACCACAATGGCTTCATCACCTTCTCCTACCTCTTCCTCGAGAAGACGACTTAGTGGAAGCGAGCCTCACGGGGAGCCGCAGCAGGAAGGAATCCAAGTGGAAGGTCGTGATGACCAGTTCCAAGAACCTGCAGATCCTTGTGATGAGGACGATGCTGACCCAGGAAGTCCTGGCTCGTTCTACTATGGCGACTGGTGGGACAGCTATGGTTGGTGGGGCTATGGGTGGCGTGATGATTGGGATGCACAGTCATGGTCATCTTCAAGGTGGTTTGAGAGTCGCGATGAGGCCTCTCAGGAACACCCCTGGGAGGACACTGAGAATGACCTTCCAGCCATCCTTCCAGAGGAGGTGATCGGCTGGCTTTTGCTTCGTCGCGCAGGATTACCTGCATCCTCTCGCCTGTCCATTCAGGCGGCGGCGGGCAACAGCCTTCGCTTCAAAGATGTGGAGCAAGCCATGCGACTTCAAGATGAGGAGCTGTTGGCCCAGGAAAGACAGAAAGGACCAAACAAGCATCGATCCTTTTGGGTCGAACAAGGTGGACAGTGGGGCATCTACTTGACAGACTTGGACGAGCACGAGGTCCCCCCAGACGACCAAGTGTGCTGGGTGGAGCCCGAAGCTTTTCCCACTTCGCCAATTGCAGATGACTCCAGTGAAGCTCATGTCATGTACAGTGACGGCTTTGAATGGCACTGGTATGAAGACGAATGGCACACTATGGACGGGGATGGGCATTGGATAGCTTTCTCTGACATGAAGCCATGGTTGGAAATAGATGACGTAGCTGTACAGGATCCCGCAGCAGGCAAAGAACTCCAAGAGCTCTTTGTTGCTTTCGATCAGAAGGTCCGTACGTTTCGTGAATCTAGGGAAGCTGTTCATTCCAAGGGCAAGAACCGAGGATACTTTCAAGGTAGTAAGACCAGTTCCAAAGGTAAGGGCAAGAAGTCCGGTAAGAAGGGTAGTCCCTCCATGGTCGTGGCTGCTCAGGGTTTTTCCGGGAAGGGGAAGGGATCTGGTTCTAACCCTGTTTCAAAACCTGGATACTCCGGCTGTTTTATTTGTGGTGAAAAGACTCATGACTATAGAAATTGCCCCAAGCGCGGTCAGCAGTCAGCATCTTCCGGAAGCCGCTCCTACATGATTGGCATGGTGGAAGAAGCTGACGGACCAGAATCTCCCATTTCTCGACCCCTTCCTCAAGATCTTCAGCGCCTGGTGCTTGCTGCGAGTTCAGGCTCTAGTGGCGAAGACCGCTTGGAGTTTGCAGTCATTGACACGGGAGCGACTGAGACGGTGGGAAGCCTTGAAGCAGTGGAGAGGATCATGGAGACCCGCTTCAAAGTCTTTGGTCAGGAGAGGATTGGGGTAGACATTCACAAAAAGAAACGTTTTAAGTTTGGTAATGCACAAGAGAGAGCCGCTGAGAGTTACCTGTTGTTGCCACAGATGATCCAGGGTCATTCAACTCAGTTAGGTGTGTATACTCTCGATGTTCCAGGTGTTCCCATTCTTTTGGGTATCAAGTCACTGGCCAAACTAGGAGCTATAGTGGATGTCGCGAAGCCTTCTCTCATTTTCACCAAGCATTTTCCGGGTGTTGAAATTCCTTTGATTCGTGGCGAGAATGGCCACATTTTACTTGACTTATGTAAAGACTGGTTTAATCCAGACCGGACTGAAAGCGCAATGACGCTGGACATGACTCTGACTGAGAACCCTGGCCAAAAAGGAACTTCGCCGCAGGAACCGGCGAGTCCCATGCACGACATTCATGTAGTTGAAGTTCACAGCGACTCCAGTGGAGCACATGCGGACATGGCCGAGTGCGAGGAGACTCTTCACACTGCAGCCTTAAACTCAAGCTCGCCATCTGACCTGCCTGCATTCCGTGTTTCTCAACATGGAGCGCTTCTCCGAGACTCTGGACTCCCAGGTGACGACCCAGAAGTTGGAAGAGATTGGCAAACAGATGGTGGCCGAGATCTCAGGCAAGAAGTCAAAGTTGGACCTGACCCGATTCGATTGGAGTCGCTGTCAGGGGTGCGATCTTCGGGACAGCCGATCGGCCGGAGAGCCGTGCATGGGCCGTCATCAACTGGCTCCGTTTGCCCGGGGCAGCCTGAGCGGCTCGAATGGCCATGCGCTGTGGATGACGTGCAGCCGTTGTGCTCTGAGGCTCATGTATGTTCCAACGTGGGCAGCCAAGGGTTGCTATCGCAGCCCAGGGCCTTTGATGGCGGACGTCAAAGACAAGCTGGAGACAACTCCGAATGCCACGGCAGAGGAGCTTCGCACAAAGAGCATCAGCTTGGATGGTGCGGAAGCATCAGCCCTTCGCAAGTTGGAGGCAATCCAGAAGGAGAAGATCAAGGTCAAGGAAGCCACAGGCAAGAAGGTGTCGCAGCAATCAGCTCAGAAGCCTGCTCTTTCGACACCTCCAAAGACCTCACAAGACCAGATCGACCTCACCGAGGGCCCAATGACAGTGGAGACCGGACCCAAGAAAACTGTCAAGCGAGAGCACACCCTCCCAGCCGAACAGCAGGAGCAGGAGGGCACCACCAGGGAGTGGATCCAAGTCAGTCCTTGATCCCTCATGACGCACCTCAACTGAGTGATGATGCCTTGATGCATTCATCATATGAGGATGAATGTTTTTGCACTGGAGCCGTGACCGATGAGCTTCGTGAAAAATTGACTCAGAGTTTGGGCAATGCACACAGTGAACTTGTAGAGGTACTAATGGCGTGCACCGCTGACACACACAAGTGCGATCTGGTTGAAGTTTGCTGTTCCCCCGAAAGCAATTTGACTAAAGTTGTTGTCGAAAAGGGTGGTAAAGCTTTCCGAGTCAACTTTGAAACCAACATGGATCTTCTCACTGAAACTGGATTTCAAAGGGCTTCACACTTCATCAACATTGTTCGTCCTAGATACTTATGGGTTTCTCCTGATTGTGGTCCAACGAGCGTAGTTCAAAACATGAATCAAAGAAACGAAAAACAAATCAAACGGTTGAAACAAAAGGTCAGAAAAGCTAGGAAACTTGCTGCCAATGTGGTCAAGCTTTGTCAGCAACAGTTGGCGCAAGGTGGTGATCTTGGTTGGGAATGGCCTAGAAGTAACCGAGGGTGGCTTCTCAAGGAAGTTCGAGAGTTCTTTGATTCGTTGGAGCGTGAAGGCATGTTGTGGATTGCCAAACTTGATGGGTGTATGGTTGATGTTAGGGCGCCAGACACGGGGGAGCTCATGAACAAACCATGGACCATCAAAACCACTAGTCCTGCTCTTCACAGTGCACTCCACATACAATGCGATGGATCACATCAACATGCTGAGTGTCTAGGACATGGTAGGGCGAAGTCATCAGCATTTTATCCAGTTGCCATGTGTCGGAGAATTGCACGAGTGATTTTGGAAGACTCAGGCAGGTCAGGTAAGCGGTTAGCCTCTCATGTTTCTGAAGCATGTCATGTCAGTGGCCACAAACGTGAAACGCATGAAACAGAGGAGACACATGACATACCACGCCATGACTTTGCATTTGCAGTTGATCAGAAACATGTTGAATCAGCTTGGAGTGAGAAGGAAGTCAAAGAAAAGAAAGAACTCATTCGGAAATTGCATGTCAGAGCTGGACATCCCACAAACCGAGCGTTGCATAACATGTTGAAGGCTCGAGGTGTGGATCCACGGATGTTAGAGTTGGCATTAGGGCACCAATGTGATGACTGTATGGAAATCAAGCTGCCAACTCCACACAAGTCTGTATCTTTCCACACCACCGAGGTGTTGTGGCACACGGTTCAAATTGATGTGGGACAGATTCCTGTGGGTGATATCACCTTGCATGTCCTTTTTATGTGCGACGAAGCGAGCAGATTTCTGGTTGCGCATGAGCTGTTTCGGACTAGACAGGGTGACCATCGGAATGCAACATCCGAAGAGATGGTGAATGGCTTGGAGCGTTCTTGGGTGCAGTACCACGGTTATCCGAATCGAATTCGTTGTGACCCAGAAGGTGCCTTTCGCGGCAAATATCTGGAAGACTGGACTCTGGCACGAGGCATTGATTTGGATCCATGCCCAGCCGAGGACCATGGACAGATCGGCATCATTGAGTCCACTATCGGCAAGGTCAAGAGCGACATTCGTGCCGTTCTACGTGGATTTGATGCTGAGCCCTTTTCAGCAGTCGTTCATGTTGTTTCGGCTCACAATGAATTGGATAGGGTTGGGGGTTTTGCACCTAGTCAATGGGCTTATGGTAGGCTACCAAGTCTGGACAATAGGTACTTTGAGGGTGGTCATTCAATCCCAATTCATTCAGCTGAGGGTACCTTAGGCACTGATCTTAGGTCGAATCTCCAACTTAGGGTTAGGGCTGAAGAACAGTACCGTAAAACACAAGCTGCTATGAAAGTATCCCGAGCCATGAATTCACAAGCCAGACCTCACCAAGTGTTTTTACCAGGGGACACCGTGTATTATAAGCGTTTTAAAGCCCCGATGACGCAGACACTCTCTCATCCAGGGCTAGACACACCAAAGGTGGGTCTTGCACGGTGGTATGGTCCGGCCAGAGTGTTAGCAACTGAAACACGAACTGAAACTCAGCCGGCTTCAAAGAAGCCAGGATCCGTTGTTTGGATCATTGCTGCGGGCAAGCTGAAACGTTGCTCACCTCATCAGTTACGCCATGCATCTGAGAGAGAGAAATTGATTTCAGAACATTCTGATGCCATTACCATGCCATGGAGTTTTACCTCTCTTTTGCACTTAGTGGAAAAGGGTCAGTATCAACGTTTTGATGATCTAATAGAAGATGAGCAGCAACCACAGTACAGAGAGCGGGAAGCTCGCGGTAGGTCTCAAGCTAGGAGTAGGAGTCGTGCACCTGAAGTGAAAGAGTCAAAAGAACAAAACAAGACCTCACAACGACCGGATAAGATCCCTGAGGCAAGAGCGCCAGGGCAATCTGGGGACCGGCGCCCCACAAAAGGGTTTCCGGCGGAGGCACCGGCTGTACATAGTAAACAATCGGTTGAGTTTGGGGGTAGTAGTGGTTCTAACAGTGGTTCTTTTGGGGGTGATGACATGGCCCAACAGGGTAAGAGACCCAACAGTGTTGAGCCTCCCGCAGTAGTTAAACTTCCACGCAGCCATGGAAAGAAAACTGAGCTGGAGCAACACGAACCTTTTGTGAGAGCACAAGTGCGAGCACCTGATGCACAAATGCACCTCACTCTGCATGAACTGCTGCACCAGGAAAGAACGTATGTGGTGACTGAGGGTGAACCTGTAGCCCCGGTTTATCACTTGGAGGTTCCACTGCCGGATACCAAGAAGGAGATGAAGAAGTTTTTGAGGGACTCAGAAACCTGGGTGTCTCAGAAGATTCGAAAAGGTGTCGAACTGAAGTGGTCCGACATTCCACAGGATCGCATTGAGGACTTCAAGAAAGCAAAAGCTAAAGAAATCTCCAACTGGATTAGCCAAGAGGCAATCAGGCTTGTGAGAAAAGCAGTTCCAAAACACAGAATCATGAAAATGAGATGGATTTACACCATCAAGCATGATGACACGGCCAAAGCGCGATTGGTCATAGTGGGTTTTCAAGATCCGGATATCACTGAAATACAACCTACCTCACCAACTATGACAAGGCGCACTCGTGGACTTTTCTTCACAGCTTGTGCTGTAAATGGCTGGACAGCCCTCAAGGGCGATGTGCGTGCAGCGTTTCTTCAAGGGTTGGAAACAGAAAAAGACCGGCAGGTTTATACCAAACCGGTCATAGAGCTTAGCGAAGCAATGGGCGGTGATCAGTTTTCCATTGGACAGATCATGAAGGCTTGCTATGGACTGGTGAACGCACCTGCCCAATGGCATTTTTCAGTGAACCAAACCATGATTCAGGCTGGCTTTGAGGCTTTGCAGACAGAGCCATGTTGCTGGAGACTGGTAGATCGTTCCGGTGACGAACCGGTTGTGATAGGTTTGGCCGTTGCCCACGTCGATGATTTCTTATTTGCTGGAGCGTCAGAACACCCGATGTTTCAGAAAGCCATGAATGAAATCTTCCAGGCATATAAATGGTCAGACTGGGAAGTAGACAGTTACATGCACTGTGGGGTCCAGGTGATCCAGGACCATGGAGGTGCTGTCACTTTGAATCACTCAGAATACTGCACAACCATCGAACCAATAGTCTTCAAGGACCGCCATGAAAACTCTGATGTCTCTCCTGAAGAGAGGCAACAGCTGCGTGGCGCTCTGGGTGGCTTGCAATGGCGCGTGTACCAAAGCGCTCCCCAGCACGCTGCAAGGCTCAGCGCTTTGCAGAGTCAGATTTCAAAACCAACGATCTCAACTCTCCGGGAGACCAACAAACTGATCCGAGAAGTCTACAACAACCGACATGTTTCCCTGAAGTACCACAAACTTTCAGTGGAGCATATGCGGGATGTTGTCTTTGTGGCGTGGTGTGATGCGGCAGTGGGGAACAGGAAGGATCTCTCTAGTTCGGGAGGTTACTTCATTGCTGCAGCAGATCCATGCATGCTTGAAGGGAAACCTAGCGCTTTGAATCCAATCAGTTGGAAGTCCGGAAAGTTGCCAAGAATAGCGAGGAGCTCTTTGAGTGCTGAAATTCAGGCCTACTCCATCACGGAGGAGGAACTAATGTTCATTCGACTGGAATGGCTTGAAATGTGTGGCTATGACATTCCTGACCGTGATCCAGGCTCGTTAATTCAGCAGTGTAAAGGAATCCTAGTGACAGATGCCAAGTCTCTCTACGACGTAATTCGCAAGGGTCCGACCATGACAAGTGGGTTTGGACTGAAAGAAAAATATTCAGCCCTAGACATGATGTCAGTTTTCCAACGTCTGAAGAAAGGTCAGACGATTACCAGGTGGGTTCATAGTAATGCTCAGCTAGCTGATGCTTTGACTAAGTCCGTTCCTAATAGTGCCTTGATGAAAGTCTTAAACACCGGGTTTTGGACGCTCATAGACGATCCCAATTTTGTCAGTTCAAAGAAGTTGAAGCTACGCGAAAAACAGCAAGCTTCGGCAAAAGATTATGGGGCATGCGAATCTGGCTACTTTTATGATGTGTTACCTCCGCCTTCTGTTGTTTCGCATGATTCACATGTGCCCATGATCACTTCTGATGACATGAACAACATGTTGTCACACTCATGATACCGTGGCCGTCTGGGCCCTGATTCCCTGAGGGAACCCTTTGGCCTTAGTGATTTTTCACATGAGTGGCGCGTGAGAAAATAGGTGGCTGATCCAGGCCGCTCCTTGGGCATCGAGGTGGTGCCTTGTTGTTTTGGGTGAAGCTTTGAGGGGCATCACCGTTGTGATATCGAACTTTCGCTGTTTGATCAATTGGGCACTGCATTGAATCTTCATCACATCCATCCTTTTGGTGCGTTGCCTGGCCAGCTACCGGCAAGCTCAAGAGATTTACTTCTTTCTCACTGTTGCAAAATGGAGAGATCTTTGGCTGTTCTATAACTGCGTCTGGCATCGAGCGGCTCAACTGCCTAGGGACGACAATGGCGAAACCCCCTTGATTCGTGCGTCCCGAAACAACCACATCAAAGTCGTCAAGTCGTTGCTCTGGGCTGGAGCTGACCCCAACGAAATTGGAGGCACCTGGCAAAAGTTCTATGTTTTTCTATGTTTTTCCTAACTTGTGAGAACCACCTCATTCAATCTCTGGGTGTTGAAGCTTCCATTTGCTATCCCATGCTATCCCCAGGTGGTCGTCAGAGTCCTTTAATGGTGGCGGCCTACCATGGTTACGTGGAGCTGATGAAGAGGCTGCTTGGCGCTTTATTGACCAAGGTGGACCTGCGGGCTTCACGCCAGAGCGTGACAGCTTTGTTCATGGCGTTGAAGCATCCGGAGGCTGTGAAGGCGGGGAGGCAGACCCGGTAGAGGGATGGGATTGTTGGGGTTGGGTCAGGACCCAAAAATCCTTGGGTGAAAATTGGATGAAACTGGAACATCAGGAACTTCCTAGACCATCTAGACCTGAAGGGGGTTCTGGTACGGGTCCAGCGGTTCACTTCGGATGTAGCTCAGGTGCTATTGGATGCCAAGGCGGATGTGAACGCCGTGGCAGAGTACGATGACAAGACGCCGCTACACCAAGCAGCTCAACACGGGTTTGCTGAGACGGTGATGCGGATCAAGCACAAAGACCAAGACTTTTTGACCACGGGAAGCTGAAGAGATAAATTTGGGGCCCGGAAGATGGTGTTCATCCCTTGGATCTGGGTAACTTTTTTTTTGCTCGCCCGCTTCAAATCCAATCGGAATTATCTGGCACTTGTGGAATCTCAACTGAATCTTCTGGCCTTTTCCATGTTTGTGCCGCAGTTGAGGTGAAGTTGCTGTTGGCTGCGGGGGCAATCGTCAACAAGAAGAACGGAGACGGCTGGACTCCGCTGTTCAGCGCCGCCCGTTATGGTCACACAGATGTCATGAAGCTTCTGCTGGACGCTGGGGCGGAGGTGGGGATGGATCAAAGTCGAAATCAAGAAACAAAAAGTCGCAGAACAGCTTGGGCGGCTCCAACACGCATCCAATTTCTATGACATGACATCACCATCTTTCAACCCACACCATCCAGGTCAATGTGGTGAACATGCACGACCAAACTCCGCTGCACGTAGCCACCTGGAGCGGCAAAGCCGATGCCGTGAAGCTTTTGCTGGAGCACCACGCCTCCGTCAACGTGGTGGACGACTCGGGGTCCACGCCGTTGATCACGGCCGCGCAGGAGAACGCCGAAATGGTGAAGTTGTTGCTGGATGCCAAGGACAAGTTGGGAACATTTTTTGGGTGATTATTTTTTGGGACCTTTTCGGATTAGATATTTATACTATATACAATATTATATACATATATAATATAATATATATATATATAGTATGTATGTATGTATGTAATGTAATGTAATGTTATGTTATGTTATGTAATGTAATGTAATGTAATGTAATGTATGTATGTATGTATGTATGTAATGTATGTATGTATGTAGGTAGGTAGGTAGGTAGGTAGGTATGTATGTATGTATATATATATATATTATATAACATAGTGCACCATGATGTTACAATACTGTTAGATTCGTATGAAGTTTTGTTTATGGAGGACCTAGCAGCAACCCTCCAGGCAGAGGTGAACGTGAAACTCGACAAGTACCTCACCACCCCCTTGCACCAAGCGGCTAAGAACAATCTGCTTGAAGCGGCCAAGATGTTGTTGGATGCTGGGGCAGATGTGAATCCCAAGGACAGTGAAGGCGAAACGCCCTTTGATTATGCCACTGACGGTGCGAAGGAGCTGTTGGCGGAGCATGGTGGCGTGGAAGGAAAGTCATGGGCCTGGCTGGGAAAACGTGCGATGAAGAAAATTGTCGGGTGAGGTGACCCGCTACACGGCGCTGGCGCGATGAGGAAAAAAGTGCTGAGGTGACGAGGGGGGTATGGAATCATGATGAATATTGATGAATTATGTTCAGGGAATGTGTGTCCAATATTTCCATATATATATACACACCTGTACACATGTAGGTCAGGTATTATCTCAAAAACACAGTAACCTAACCTTTCAGCATGTCGAAGAGACACTTGTTTGTTCTTTCCCCGAAGTTTCCGTAGTAGACAGCGCCAACGAAAGACCATACACCAAAGGCGTACTGTATTTGCTGAAGACGAGTTACTATTTTTTGGTTAATTCACGACTTGGGGAGTATTTTTGAGGATCCTTGTGGGTTTCACCGTGCCAACCGCGTTCCAGGTAATGAGCCAAGCGTTTGCGATCATCACTTGGACATGCTGGAACCCCAAATGGGGCACTCCAGCGGGCGAGCGAATATGCTTGCTGGCTGGTGGTCATCACCTGTCACTGTAGCTGCAGGGAAAGTTCCAGATTTGTTTCGGCAAAAAAATGCGACAAATATCGCAATCGACGCACGCACACACACACATGCACTTATCCTAATCTTCAAGACATACTCGTGCAGACAGAATCAGACAGATAGGATTGATAGGCAGACCGACATCAATAGTATAAGGTTTGTGGGGATGGCTCGGCTCTGCCAAGTCTTCTCATATGGAAATGTGCCATTTTCTTGGCCCCCGACTCAAAGTCCTGGCGCAAACGTAATTCTTGATCCCCCGAAGGGTTGACTCTACCCATGCTTGCAATTATTTGCACACACCTATTGGACAATACAATCCTGTAAGTTTTTGCCATTGTTGAATTTCAGGTGGTGGGAAGTCACATGGAATGTTCTGCCGCAATCTTTAGCCAAGGAGCAAACATGAAAGCCCGACAACTAAAATCAACGAACAGACAGGGCTAACAGCGAGAGGATGAACTTCCTGGCTAAAAAAAGATCAACATTGTTGAGGGGACCGGCAAGATAGCAAACCCTTTCGAGCCACCGCCTTTTTTAAGTGCATGGACACTCTTTGCCAAAGCGTTTGCTTAACAATTTGGCAAAATGACAATTTAAAGAAAAAACTGCAGCATTAGAAGAGGCAAAACTGGCATACAAACATCATCAAACATTATAACAGGCAATTGTTTTTTTGTTTTTTCCGTTCGCTTCATTCATGGGGCGATGAGTTCGGAGCTGTTGCTTCCCATCTCTGAGAACAAAAATCCGTCCAGATGGGGCACGTGGAAAAGACGCTTGAGCGATGTTTCGCATAGCTCTGACTCTTGGATGTTTCTTATGGCTCAGGGATGCTCAGGGCCATGGAGGGTTGTGGAGCTCATCTTCAGATCGCGACTCTGGGATTTTTCAAGTGGTAAAAACTCAAAACTCAGGCTCCCTGCATAGTGTGAAGTTGGGTTTTCCCGAAACTCCAGAAAAAACTTGGGGACAAGCACATCTATTGAATCTATTGTCATACCCTGTGCGGCTGGCAGTGGAACCTCAGCACCAGGATTGGTTGGCTGTGATTCTGGGACCAGCAATCTCTGTGCCCTTCGCAACCTGCTACGCAGCCTTAATATGCAGCGATGCCTCATTGCGCAGTCATTTTCCCATGGTTCTGCAGCACCTTGACTGCGATTTCTTCAGCGACTGGTTGACGAACTTCAAGAATAATGCAAGATGCCTACTGGCCTACCTCAGCCGTACTGTACGACCTGTTTGCCACATTGAGCCATGTTCTTCAGCATCAGCATAGTATTAGTTTCTGATGCATGACTGAACTCAGGCAGGTAATGTGGACACAGATGCTGGGATTCTTGGACTGCAAAAGCAAAGCAAGCCATTGGTGGGGCAGGTCGGGTCGCGGCGGTTTCAGCCAGCCAGCCAGTCAGCCAAAGCGGCGGAAGCAGCCAGCCAGCCAGCCAGCCAGCTAAAGCGGCGGAATCAGCCAGCCAGCCACACAACGCGGCGGAATCAGCCAGCCAGCCAGACAGCCAACGCGGCGGAATCAGCCAGCCAGCCAGCCAGCCAAGACGGCGGAACCAGCCAGCCAGCCAGCCAAGACGGCGGAATCAGCGAGCCAGCCAAGGCAGCGGAACTATCCGAGCAAATATGGCTATGGCCTGTATAGATATGGATGTGAGACGGTGTGAGTAGATGTATGTGAATGATATCGGTAGGTATACCTCTGGGAAGATGCAGTTATACCACTAGAGTGGTGGCACCCTGATTTTCAGAAACAAGCGCCGGAACTGAACCGTGTAGTTAAAGGTGAATCGAAGCTGGAACATGTCCGCGCAAGAGTTGGGGGAGGCTGCTTGGGTTCTCACAAGATAGCCCCCGGTTGGTTCCAAAAATTCCAAGACCGCGGCTCTGAAACTCAGCTTTGGCCCACTGATGCTGCATCGCTTGTCACTGGCGACGCTTGCTACATTGCTTGGTTCAAGGTGGTGATGGCGAAGAGTAGGCATTGATGAGATTCGGTCAGTCGTGAAATTATGTCAAATTCGAAGACGGCCTCAGGAATCCCAAAAATCAGTGCTTGATTAGTATCACGTCAGTAGCATGGGTAGAGGCACTCAGTTGCAATTTGCCCAGACGCCGGGTAAGATTCAAAACTAGACATCGCTTTGACCATGAACTTGTATCAGCCTGTTGTTGGTGCGCAGCGCAAGTATGATACTCGCCATCCATTTCCGGGTCCATGGATGTCCGGGTCCTTGACTCGGCCGATCACGCAAGTTGATGTCGGTTGGTTCGATCTTTCATTGTATGTGTGCCCGTGCTGGATGCTTATATATATATATATAATTTCCTATGTATGTATTTCTGGTGTAAAGGTGTTTACATACATACATTTGTACATATGAATGTATACCTGCTTGTCGGTTATATGTACGTATGTTTGTCACATGTATACATGTATATATTTATATATACACATGTAGATACGCATAGATGTATTCCATGCTGGTGATACAGACCTTCCTGTGGCATACTGTCCCGATCATCAAATCACAATGACAATACTGAAATTGATGGAACAGAAGTGCGTCAGTAGATTCAATTAGGTTTACTAAGTTTACTACAGTGAAGGAGCAAAATCTAGCAATTGTAAAGGAGCAAACTCTAGCAATTGGGTGACGCACGCACACAGACTGAACATGCTCAGACGCTATTATACCCAACAAATTGCAGTGTGTCGGACAGAGATTGACCAGGCAGGGAGACGCCGAAAGTTGAAGGTCCATCCACGCAGGTATTTGGAACTCGCCTTTCATGATCTCACAGGTCTTTTCATCAGTTCTTTTCATCATCTCTTCGGTGCTTTCTTCTTGCCAGAACTGACATGAACCGACCTGAGCCGACTATGCATTTTAAGCTTGATTTGTCAGCGAAATTGATTTTTTTCAGTGGAGACTCATAGTAGTTGACAAGGCGCAAGGTGTCAACATAGTTTACAGATATGAATTTTCAGACATGCCGGAAGGATTCATAGTTCAGGACTTCAAGATTTTAGCGCGCGAAGTTGGTTTGGCCAATATTTGCCCGATGTTTTGCATATCGGAACCGGACGTTTCAGCTGGGACCCTGTTTGTTTTGGAACGGTAGCAGACGCTAAGGCGGCGAAGACGCTACGACGCCGCAGACGCAGAGATGCCGTGCAGACTTTGATATGACTTGGTAGGACGTGGCAGGATTCCGTAGGCTTAGGTACGACTTTGTAGCTTGCAAGTGGTAGGACTTGGTGGGGTTGCAGCGACAATAATTCGCCAAACCCTTGAGTGTTTAAACATCCATTTAATTTACGTATACAATCCGATTTGCAAATCATCCCATGTCACCCTGGCCATGGCCATGTACAACATCCGCTCTACATCACCCTCAAACATCATCAAACATCCACATGGTCGTTATCGCTAGCCATGGCCCGCTGTTTTGAAGTGCCTCAGTCGTGGCGTATATTCCTCCGCGCGCGGTGGAACTGGAATTGGAGCCCTGCCGTCGTCCAACGACTGCGCCAAGCCCAGCCTGTGCCCTGGCAACAGTTGCACCACACACTGGTTGTTTTACAAGACGTCGCCGCAGCAACAGGTGGGCGCCTCAGCCCCGCCGAGGCACGTCTCCCTGCCACATTGGCGCAAGCAGCCGCACGTTTGCCACCAGCAACCTTGATCCACTTGCCGTGGGCCCTCAACCAGATGACAGAGGCGTCGGGATACATCCCCGCGACAGCGCAAGAAGCCTTGTTGCAGATCTACCTGGGTGAACGCCTGGCGGCACGAACGGCACTACTCGCAGACCAGTGGCGGCAAACCCAGTCGGCTTCAACGACCGCAGCTGCCAACACGAACGCCGCCCCAGCCTCTCGCCACGTGCCAGAGCCAGCACGCCCAGTGCCATCAGCAGCAGAGATACCCACACCAGCACCCGACCAGCCAGGCCAACCCCCCCGCCGCGAACCCAACCCGCCAGGCAGCCCCAGTTCCAGCACCTCAGGCTCAAGCTCGAGCGCCAGCAGCGGCACCTCAGCCCATGAAGCACCCAACACACCATCGCCAGCGCAAGAGTCACCCCAGAGCCACCCAGACATGTCATCGGACATTCGGCGGTTCAGCCGGGCTTTGGTTTCCCTCGACGCCCTGGAGCTCCAACCCATCCTCCGCCAAAAAACGTTCTTCTTCCAACAACCGCCCCAGTTCTTACGGGGTCGAGTTCGGCAAGCTCTCTCCTTCGCTTGCGCCTGCATCATCCAAGCCAACACAGCAACAGAAAGCACGCGGGCATGGAAACTCTTCTTGCTTCTGCCACGTCTGCTCCTCCAACGCAAGCCCGGCCAGCGCCTCTTACCCAAGCCAGACTGGCGCCGCCGCATCGAGCAATTCCAGGCGGGAGAATGGCTTACCTTGCTCCAAGAAAGTACGCCAGCGCCAGAAGACGGCAACCCAGCACCCGCCCCAACAGGACCAGACCTGCA